ATATGGGACGGAGGTAGTAAAAGATTGGAGGAGTTGCTTAATTGCACTGGTGTCGATTACAACTCCGCAATGGGCAGATTTGTTGCCTCCGATGAGTAGTGGTTTGAAAGATTAAGGTACAGTGCTTCTTGGTTGGTATGGAAATTTTCTTTTGCTCTGCACGCTGTAGTCTCACTCCGGCCAGCACAGATCAATTTTTTTTTTACTGAACATTTGCATTCGGATTGGGTTTTCACGTGGATGTCCCCAACAATTTAGAGGACGCTTTTGTTCGGCTCTAAAGCTGTATTACAGCACACCATTAGTACGACAAAGCGTGTCTTTATAATTCGTTGAATGCATGACTTCGACCATACGTTGCCGACTGATTTCACTACTTCGTAAACGCCAGTGGTTGTGAATTAAGTTACCTCAGATTTGTCCTACCTTGTAATCATCGCACTTGTGCCATTTTGCATAATTAGAATATGTTATGTTCCACTGTCACGAGCCCGTTGATTTCCAGTTCATATTGCCTCCTCTATTGTATGCTCAATTTGGTTAATCTACTTCAACTAGCATTTACAATTTCAAAGTGTACACATTTGAAAATTAAACAGACTGGTGTAGTACAAAAGTGTTGAAATCATTTGAAAGTGCATCTGGTTTTACATAATGTGTATGAGAGGAAATGTTCAATAAAGATTGTTGTGCGTGCTTTTGTAGAAAACCTTATTATTGATTTCCATACTCATCTGCAGTAGTCTCACTTTTTTCCAATTACATGGGTTTGTGTTTGTTCCAGCAAGGTTTTCGAAACAATTTTATCCTTTGCAACAGGAGAACAAAAAGTACAAAGATTTCAAAGAAAGAGACGGTAGAAAGGTACATAGTAACAAGGCTCTGTTTGGGGTTGCGTTCGACAGCGAAAAGTACACCATCACCCCTACAAAGTTGTGTAGAACTGGCTTTGCCATGTTCGAAGACAGCAGATACGATGACCAGGTTGATGCGAATCCAGTCGGCGAGGAGAGCAGTGGCTCAAGTAACGAGGCAGAGAAAACGAAGAAGGTTGCATTGAGCATGGACGTCTCCGGCTGCGCAGTGGAGACAAATGTAAGTCAGATACCAAAAAGAAGAAAGAGAAGAAAGCAGAAATATCTGCGCGCAAATTATCGTACTCTGTCAATTGTGCTACCTCTGCCAGTGAGAAGGTAGCGGCAAAAATCGACAACTTGGTTGGACCTCGATGTGCCTGACCTGAAGACATGAATGAAAGAGTTGTTGGCGATGGGCATATTCAAGAAAAAAAAGCTGATCTTTACTTCTAACGTGTACGTTCCTGCCCCTAAAGCGTAATATAGAGATACTCCAAATGTAGGACGACGCAAATGAAAAATTCGATTGAGTCGAGTGGAGCTGACACGAGTACAGGAAATCGCAACCGCAATGAGAAGTGAGTGTGAGCCCGAAGAAGTTTTCCAATGAATGCTGTTTGATTTGAAAACCATTGGTTTTTAGTTTATTTTCGTATGTGGGTTGTGTACGTTTTATGATTTGGAGTTCAAACTAGTACGTTTGATTTGAACTATCATCTCTGTAATGTCACTTTCAATGCAACCATATGTATGTCACTTTACTCTATGCCACACCTCATATTAGCTGGACTTTATTCTTCTTTTCCCAAGATACTTAGTAAAGCAATGGTAACCTACTACTAGACTTACCATCAATCACATGTGAATCTATTTATTTATTTATTTTTCCTATCACCACATCATTTCTATGCTAAAAGTTTATCATGGGGCAAGTTCTATAAAAGGGAATAATGTATGATAAATCTCTTTCATCCTCGAATAATTTTCCTCAAGAGCATAGTTTCATCTGTGTTGCTTCTGCTTTATGTCAAAGTCCTTTGGTAAATTTCTTCTCAATGCAGAATTAGAATGACGCATTTTTGTTGTGTGCTTATGCCTTACTCTGATTATGAAGACGACCTTAGGGAAGAGAAATTTTTGCAAGAGCTACAAAAGGACATCATTGAGTGGTTTCGATACTGTTGAATCTTTGAACTTGCTGTGGTAAACTACTATCGTGAACAGAGACGTCGAATTATTAGATTTCCGTTCGTGAGAAACGGAAACATGTTCATGCTAGATGCTATGAATTGTAGTCCCCAACAGCTTTACATAGAGTTTTGAACGTGTTCAACAATGTTGCAGATATTCACACATATTCTCTGTGAAGAATACGGACTGCGCGATATACCCTGTTCCTAATAACGCTAATGGACCTGGAGTGAGATGTGCACCGATGACAGATATCAACTAAAATTTGGACCCACCATCAAGGCTACTACAA